CATTTTTATCTATAAATTAGGAATTTGAGGAACATTGGAGGTATTTTGTGAGATCGTTTAACTAAACTATATTATACAAACCATTCATTACATCACATATGATTGTTAAAATCACTCTTAAATAACTCGGAGCGTTTGGTACGGTATCTCCACGCATCCTTCTACCCCTGTAGATTCACGAAATGCATATTTATTTAAACTCGAGTCATTTCACAGCGGCAAATGCAACGCAGTAGGCCTGGGCGTTATGATGTTTGTGTCATATCTCAGATATGCTGCAAACATCAATGTTGATAAGAAAAATGATTAGGCGTTACCTAACCTAATCATTTTCCATGATGCTTTCTCTACTGGCTGCGTTTGTATTAGATTAGATTAACAGACTTGAACGGCTAGATCACAGAATTGATAGAAAATCATAATATTAGTGATTAAACCAAGAAGGAATCAACTCTGCAGACTGTGCCGACACAGCATGGGCACATTAAGGCACACTTTGATAAGTAGGACACAAACAATTTAATATAAAACGGCATCACTGTTGAGTGTTGACGTTTTGCCAATCGTTGCTAAGGTTTACTACTAGGTTCAATACTTTGTTTACTCACAAATGAAGCTAGTGAGAAAGCTAGTGTATCACATAAAACCTAGGATCATAAAACTGGTGATACAAGGATTCAATCAAGAATTTAAAAACAACATACGTGTACCCACCGGTGCTGAGGATCTTTCGGAAAATTCTGTAAGTACTGTCTGAATCGTGAATCTCTTCAAACCTAGCAAAACTAAGTCCGCCTCTTCCGAATCACAGCACAAATCTCAGTGGATCGTCAACAGTTTCTATTCGGGCCTCACTTCAGTCGAGTTCATCTACACCATGGCCGATTCTTGTCGGTACGGCAGTCAAGACGGCTGAAATGGGTTACCTCTAGAGACGATTGACGTTCTCGATGATGGAATAATTGTGAAAAATGCCCGACGGTTGCCTTTGGTGATACATTTGGAAGGCTACAGCAACACTATGCTACACTAAAGGGTGATACGGTCAAAATTTGGTCAAGGGAAAACGCGTGTAAATCGGTGAAATCGTTTATTTAAAAAATCAAATTAAATTTCTTTTTCAAGTTCAATTAGTATAAAATTCAGGAAAAATATTCAGTTAGGCTTCCGCTTTTCCAAATCCGAATTGCCGGGCCTTACGCTTGACCCCTGCCATCAGATTTTGTACAGCCACCTTGTTCACCTTCTTCGCCGCAGAAAGCCAGTTTGCCTTGAACTGCTGCTCGCCCTTAGCAGTTTTTTTGGTCTTCTTTAGGTTCCGCTTGACAATAGCCCAGTATTTCTCAATTGGGCGGAGCTCTGGCGTGTTGGGAGGGTTCTTGTCCTTGGGAACCACCTGCACGTTGTTGGCGGCGTACCACTCCATGGCCTTTTTACCGTAATGGCAAGATGCCAAATCCGGCCAAAACAGTACGGAACAACCGTGTTTCTTCAGGAAAGGCAGCAGACGTTTATTCAAACACTCTTTCACGTAAATTTCTTGGTTGACAGTCCCGGAAGCTATGAAAATGCTGTTTTTCAAGCCACAGGTACAGATGGCTTGCCAAACCAGATATTTCTTTGCGAACTTTGACAGTTTCATGTCCTTGAAAACATCTGCTACCTTTCCCCTTCCTTTTGCCGTATAAAACTCCTGTCCCGGAAGCTGCTTGTAGTCGGCTTTGACGTAGGTTTCGTCGTCCATTACCACGCAGTCAAACTTCGTCAGCATCATCGTGTACAGCCTTCGGGATCGCGCTTTGGCCGTCGTATTTTGTTTATCATCGCGATTTGGAGTCACTACCTTCTTGTAAGTCGATAGTCCGGCTCGTTTTTTGGCTCGATGCACGGTTGTAGACGATACACCCAGCTTATTTGCGGCATCTCGGAGATAGAGGTTAGGGTTTCGCTTGAAACTACCGGCAACTCTCTTTGTCGTCTCAGCGGCTTCCGGTTTTCGATTTCCCCCCGATCCAGACTTCCTGGCTGTCGACAAACGTTCCCCAAACACTTTAATTACATTTGTAACGGTTGATTTGGCAACTTTTAGCGATTTTGCCAACTTTGCGTGCGAGTAGCTCGGATTTTCACGATGCGCGAGCAAAATTTTGATACGCTGCTCTTCTTGCTTGGACGGCATTTTGACAACTGAAGAGTGAATTCCAAAATCAAAATAGGAGCAACATTCTACACACACACACCTTCAAAATGAGGGGTGTTCAGGTTTTTTAAATGCAAAATTGAAAGAAATACGTCAAGTTGATATTGACCAAATTTTGACCGTATCACCCTTTATGCTATGCTGTTTTTCGTACGAAAATAACTACAAAGGAATTATTAGCATCGAGCTTGATGAATCCTCACATTCAGTATTGGAAAAGTTCACCAAAACTCAATTGGAGGCGATATTCCAGAATACAGCTCTTATTTTTGAACTAAGCATTTTATACGAAGCGAACAACGAAGGATCAGAGCAGGATCTTCTGCGAGACAACTTTACTATGCAGAATGGACAGTAAAAAAGTCAAGCTTATTAGGGGGTGGCCAGATTTTAATCCCGTTCTTGCCGAGTATCTTCGGGACGGAAATTTTTACATTTTCTCCTGTGTTTTTCCTCGGATATTCTTGTCATTCATTAGCCTCAATTGGCATGGACTTCGATGGCATGACCACAGGACATTATAGCGATGACCACAGAATGCTGTGTGGGGCTGAGTGGATTGGGCGAAATCTGCTCGAGTTCTATAAAGACCTACAGGCGCCGGATAAAGCGCTTCCGCTGAAGTTTGCGGTGGCCGAGAATCCTATTTTCGAAGCATGACAGATGTTCAGGTGGAGATGTTTGATAGTTCTCATCGGTGGTTTTTACATTGCGGAAGGTACCTCAACTGCATCAGATCGTAGCTTGGTAGGCTTAGTGGTGTGTAATCAGGAGATGGTAGAAGGCATCATAATCAGCAAAACGATAGGCTTGGGTTATATATTTGAGAACACGCACTTCTGAGTCGATCAGATAATTTAAAACTTGTTCGACGATGTTGCTCCTAGCGTGGGATTGCACTATCGCTTGTTCCAGTTCTGGGCTTATTTTAATCGGGGAGAAAGGACATCGAGCCAGAATCTTGTGGAATTTGCTTGAACACCATATTGGTTTGATGGTTTCCAGTTCCTCTTTCACCTCTTGACCCGCCAACGCTCTAATGAGAATGAAACTGAATGCTTCCCATTCATCCATCAGAGAAATTGAGAATGTAAACACAATCATCAAAGTCATAAGTTTGAGGGTTGCCAAACTCATGGAATATTGACGCTTTGATAGGCATACTTTGATCGACCTTGAGAGACACGTTCGGCACAGCGCTTGGCACAGCTTTCGGTACAACTCAATTACTCGGCACGAATTACCCCGAATACCCCTAATTGGACTTCTTATTACACTCATTTTTAATTAATCCTTATAACACCAATTTGTTACCAAGTCAGGCTGTAATTGGTCGTAAAAAAGTGACTATCGTGACTACATTTTAATAAATCATGACCAACAATTGAACAGGGTTCAACTCCTTTTTGTAAACAAACCTTGTAAGGCCATTTTCTCACGAATTAAACCTACATTCGTAAACCTAAAACACAATCGAGTAGAGAAGAATTCCCCCTACCTGTTCAGTTTTTTGGTTTGCGTTGATGGTCTTCGGTTCGCTACAAAATGGCCTTACAATGTTTGTTTACTAAATGGAGTTGAGGCCTTTCAATTGTTGGTCTTGAAATAGTGACTTTAGTGACTTTTTGATGAAACAAGTGACTTTTTAGTGACTGACTTGAAAATAGTGACCTAGCCACTAAAATGACCTGCTACCCGAGCAAAGTCTGAGAACAAATTGAAATCTAAATTTGATGTTGTGATTTCGCTGATAATGATAATGACTGAAACCTCAATTTGATATCAATTTTTCCTGTTGATAACAAAACAAGTATTCAATTTGATGTTATGCTAAGGAAATGAAAACAAACCCGCAACAACATATTTATGAAGAGCAGATGTACAGCAAAATGAAAACAAAATTTGGTATCATTTGTCAATTGCGTAAACTGAAATCCAATTATGATTGATGTTGACTTGAAAACTTGATTTCGATTTGCTGTCATTTTGATGCAGCACTTTGCTCGGGATACCAGCCCTGGGACCACCCTTATCATACAAATTTTATAAAAAGAAGGTCCATTTAATTATAAACATATTCTACAAAGACTAAATTACCGTTTAGGGCCACAGATCCATAAAAAAAAGGAATACCGTCTAAAACCCCATCCGCCAACAACGGTACCTTTCTGTACACTTTGCTAACGTTTGCTAACTGAAACAAGTTTACTTTTTCACTTACCGGACAGCATCCGCTAACTTAACTGGATTTCATGTGTTCTGGTTCATCTGGTTGATCTTGAAATTTTAACGCGGACCAATTTGACAGATAAGTGTCCTTTAACTGAAACGTGTTTCAGTAAGCGGACTTTCAGTTAAATTTCTTCCACGTAGCCTAGTGCAAGCTGAAACCAAGTTGACAACCGTGGCTAAACAAACCGTTTACTTGGATGTTTTATCGCTCGATATTCTCTATGATTTGATGAAAGTTCGACCGTATGTCATTTTACTACACGTTCTGATAAACAGTGTGTCCTAGTTGAAGAATACCGTTTACACCAAGAAGTCGCTCTCACGCTGATAAGGTGTGCGCGCGAGCGTAGTCAACAGTGCTGATCATGACGTTACTGGCTGTGACACCAACCAACGTGGCAACCATGAGCCAGCTGAAAGACGGTATATAGGTAAGAAGGCATCCAGGTTCTATATTCGTTCACATGTGTGCTGGTTCCCACCAGGTAGGTGCCCGTTTTCGTTGGTAGGTATTCTTATTCTAGACCCGAATTGATAACGGAAAATCGTTCATGCAGTCAGTACTTACCAGCTTGGAACCCGACGGCGGAGGAAGTTCGGTTGGCGACTTGGACTGGTTCCGTTGCTGTTGTTGATATTCAACAATTTGTTTGCGCAGTGTTGCAATCTGAAAATTCAGGAAGAGAGAGAGAAAGCGCTACATTAGTTTCGTTATCGTTAGCAACAGCAACCAAATGAACGAGTTCGAGTTTGCAACAATCGCAACTCACTCACAACAGCACCGTTGTTTACGTAGTTACGGTTCGCCAGGTGGGGGCTGAGAGTGAGGGCTGAGGAGTCATGGAGAATAGAAAAAGCCCAGCAATTTTCCGATTATAATGTGCAATAATTGCTATTCTCCATAGTTTCCAGAGTGCGCTGCTATTCATAATTCTCATTCGGTACGGTGGTTTTCTGGTCAAATCGGGGACGCATTTGTCGTTTTCTGCCTCCACAGCTCGAAATGGGAAGCTGGGGATGGTGGAACGGAGGCAGTAAACGATGACGACGACGCCTGCCGACCCACGTCGCGTCCCTGAGTACACCTGTTCAAATTTAACATTGCGCGATATCTACGTATGCATGACAGCAGCGTGTGGAGCTGCAGCATTGTCGTGACTAAATAGACAATGCCGAAATTCTTAGTTGAGAATGTAGTTACTATTCACGTTTCAGTTTCAACCCAGAGTTAATTATCAGTGCAAAGTTCTGAAAGCAATTTGTTCCAGAAGCCGTATTGCACTATCAGAGTGTCTATTCATTTTTCTAAATAAAATTCATTGAGGTTTCCAGGTTTTTTTCAGGACTTCAACAGACAATTTCCAAGTTTTTGAAGAAACATTGGTTTGTATTGTGAGTTCATTGAAATTCCTTCCTTTCTTCTTGAGTTCATATATTCTATTCCTAAATATTTGATTGATAAAGGAAATTGAAAATTCTCTGAGAATTCCAGGTGAAATAAAATTCCCTGCAGAATCCAGGGTTTCCAAGTTTCTTTTTTTAAGATTTTGCCATGAAGTAGACTATTGCTTATTCTGCATTATTTGATATGTTTTGTATTAGTATGTGCCTACATTATTCACTAAACATCATTTAGGAATCCTGAAGTTTTCTAGGTGCTCCAAAATGTCCTGGAGTTAAGATTTCGATGGTTAATAGACTATGGAGAAGCAAATGTCATGCCTGAAATACTCCCTAGAAAATTCGAAGTGGTAGTGCAAGTCAGCCATTTTCCAAATGATTTCTGGACGTTGGATCGTATCACCTTAAGAATCCCATACATTTGTTCTCCAAAAATCTGTATTACAGTATTCGTTCGATTTTGGCACAATTCAATTTTAGCACCATGCCAAAACCGAACAGTTTTAAAAAATAGTATGATTTACAATTAATCATCTTAATGGTGACATCTATCGGAAATTATGCATACACTGAGATCCGTTAATTGTTAACACAGGGCAGTTCAGCCAAACAATGTATGATACCTCTATATATGCAATTAAATTAACATCCATAGTTCTTCCTTTCTTATATATTCTACGATAAAAATACTATCCAAGCTCCGCCCCTGGATGGGAAATATAATTGCATAAATAAGGGTTCCCACATTTTTTTCTGGGCTAAGTGCTATACTTTGAAGTCTGTGAAAGGGAAGTCACATATCGTGTGGCATCAATATACATGGAATGTTGTAGAGAGATTGAGCTCGTGAGAGAAAATTTAAGCTCTTGGATTTGAATTGTTTGGCTCTCTTGGGACTGGAAGTAAAGCGGATAAAAAATATATAGGAACATACTGTTTTTATTTAATTGTAGCTTTTTTAACAATAATATCCGCGAAAAAACTAAACGACAAAGTCCCTGAATGATTTCTTTAGGATGTCGTTCACTTTTTTCACCAGAATATGGATCGAAAGCTAATTATTCCATCTTCTCTCAATTTCTATTTGGAGATTTTTATTATTTCCTACCAGCAAAACTGCACCATCTATGTGGAAAATGGCCTGACGATATGATCCATTGTTTACTTATTGTGAACACAGTTTTCACTAACAGACTAATGATTGATGTCACAGAGCAACATTTTACTTTTACTCATCAATTACCATTACCATTGGAATAATCGAAACATGTCAACAATGAATGGAGTCACCAGAGTGGCAGTTAACCACCACTTTAGCTTCCAATTAGGGTTTCCTACCTGGGGCAATTAACCAAAAGTAGATTCCGGGAATTCGATTCGGAAATAGCTATTATTTCACAAAATTTGTAAATTTATTTATATGTACAGGCCAAGGGGTGGTCACTCTACACACTTATTTTGCGTCAACTTTTTTCTCAGTGTGCCTCAGTGTGCCTCAGTGTGCCACAGCGGTGCCGGCAGTGCCGACAAGTCATTGAACTGACTTTTGTTTGCTTGTGAATAATGCCTTGTTATTTTAACAGCTCTTGTTTTTGTTTTGTTTTTCGAAACCTGAGATAACCCGGGATTTCCGTTCCAAAATACGGACCTGGCGGGTGGAGTTTCACCTAGGCCGCGGACAGTTTTAGTCAGAGTCATTCAGTGTTCGATTCTCGGAATATGGAGTCAGAAGTGAAAAATTTTCTGAAGCGCTCCAAATTCGCAGTTTGGTTCTTTGCTTACCCGTGTGTGCTAGTAGACAAAGCTCAATTTCAATGATCATGGTGTTAAACGGAAACGATGCCAGCGGTGGCCAGGACGGGCCGCACAACAAGCGCCTCTGTACCGGCCAGGGAATAATCGGAACAACAACAACATCAACGTCACAAATGAGCCTCAACGAAAGCGCGAGGTAGCAACCCGGTTCAACCATATCCTGCTGTTCACCATCATCAATCCAGTCAAACTCATTACAGTGGACGTTCAACACACTATCTGCTCGCCCAACGGACATGTACAACGTATCGTGATATTCAAGAAGAGTGGAGTCCAAGCGATGGTTGAGTTTGACAGCATTGAATCCGCCACCAGAGCCCGCAATGCATTGAACGGCTGTGACATCTATTCCGGTTGCTGCACACTGAAGATCGACTAAGCTAGAAAAAATTCAATATTTACAAAATCGACACGGACTCCAGTTCGGACTACACATTGGAAGCTACCGTCTCGAAGGATGCCTGCAACGGACACGCCCCCCCCCCCCCCCCCCGTTGCACAGTGGGCAAAAATTGACAAAACCGCGACTAAATTGAATATCTCGGCTGCCAAACGGTTTCATCCAACATATTATACATATTCTCAAAGGAAAAACTCTGCTGAATTGACTGATGGTGGTCTTATTGGCCGGACTTTTGCGTACCGAGATAGAGGGCAGGGATCAACCCGAGTTCCCGGTAAAGTAGGAAATGTCACTATCTACCGACAAAATTTTACACTTGACTTAACGTATATTACTGGAAATTGATAGTAATAAGTATATATGGTGTAAAGACACCATATACGCCCTCAGGGAAACTCTACTGGCCTAAAAGAAAATCCGAAACACCGATAAAGTGGCCATCTTATAAAAAATGTCCTAGAACCTTGAGATTTTTTCTATGTTGTTCAGAATCAAGATATCAAAGCGTATTTAATATGGAAACTATATTTTGGGGTATAATGGCCATATTCTGGTTCTCCGGATAATCTGGAGTGATCGATAAAGTCGCCATATTATAAAAATTGTCGAAACCGTTTGGCAGCCGATATATTCAATTTAGTCGCGGTATTGTCAATTTTTGCCCACTGTGCGTTGCTACACGATTCTACCATCTTCGGCGGAAGACCGACACCGTACAACGACCGTCAATCATTAGTCAACCGTGGTCCTAAACCAGTTCTTCTGGGAGCCGGCGGAGGAAACGGATTTGTACCGAATTTTTCACCGCCCGAGTTTCATCCACCGGAAAACTGGAAACCAACACTGACCGGAACACACGTCGCACTGATGAAGGACCGCTGACCCGAAATAGACTAGCCAACTTCATTCAATCGGCACAGCAACAGGGCGCAGTGATGATGGTCTACGGACTCGATAACAACACAGCCAAGCTGTTCAATCTGTTCTGCCTGTATGGAAATGTTGTCAGGATAAAGTTCCTAAAGACCAAAGAGGGTACCGTCATGGTCCAGATGGGAGACGCCATCGCAGTCGAACGTAGCATCCAGCACTTCAACAACATTCCAATCGGAAATAATGGTAGCAAAATTCAGATTGCATTTTCTAGGTAGCACTACTTTTCAGAGTCCATCAACCCCTACATCCTGCCGGACAATTCGATCAGCTTCAAGGACTGCAGCGCCTCCAAGAACAATCGCTTCTATTCGTTGACCCAGAGCAGCAAAAATCGCAATCAGCCACCGTGCAAGATTCTCCACTTCTTCAATACCCCACCCGGTATGTCCGAGGATCTGCTGCTGATTGCATTCACACCCCGTCGCAAGTGCGAATGTTCCCGCTGAAATCCGGACATTCCTTCTCCGGATTGGTCGTGTTCCCGAGTGTAGCACTGGCGGTGAACGCCATCATGAAGTGCAACCACAGCGCGATCGATCACAAAGGCACATAATTCCCGTTCATTATGAAGCTGAGTTTCTCCTTGTCCAAAACGATGAACGATGCGTGGAGCAACGAGGACATCTTAAAACATGGGCATGGGCATGGCACCGGCAACCTGGCAACCCAATGTAGGCAGCGGCCGCGACAGCCTCCCCCGTGGCAGCAGCGTCCGGTGCACAGTGGTGCAAAAGGCCAAATCCATGAACTTTTTTCATTAGCACCTTTAACAGTGGTTTTTTCAATAGGGTGTCTTCAGAAGAGTTTTTATAAATGACAAGACCCATTGAATGAAGTTAAGTTTTAGTTCGAAACTTCACCACAGGTGGTGCTGCAAAATCTAACTTTTCAGTTTGACCAGATAGAGATATAAAGTCTTCAGCTAAGTCAGCACCACTGTGCGGTGGTGTGATTTAGGAGAATCCAAGGCGATTCACGGTTGTGTTTTGAAAAAAATTGTATTATATTGTGGCAACATCAATAACAAATTTTGACGCATGCACACTGCGCAGGCGCAGAAAAAGTTCAGTGTTGCCAGTAGCTTTAAAGATCAGAAAAATTGTAACTATGGG